TTCGTCGTCATCAACTGTAGCGCTATCGTTTCTGGAAGCCTCTTGTTCTACAAATTGTTTTTGCACTCCGTAAAAACCACGTTTTCTCTTTTGACGGTAAAGGCTTCTTTGCTTTCGTCCAGGCATTCTAACTCTGACAAACGTAAAACAGTATTTCGAGGTGCACCGTGGTGAAAATTTACAGAATATACTTCATGTAAAGCACACTAAAACAAATTCAACTCAATAAAAAAATTGTAATCGTGTTCCAAGGTAGATTTCGTCTTACCTGTGGCCAAAAAAGGGTAAAAAAGATTTGAGAAGTTACCCTAGCAACCAGCTTTTCTCGTTGCTAAGAAGAATATTTGTGACTGCTCTTTGAAAAACCTTGATTTATGACCCGTTTTCGGTCCGTATGTGCACAGGGGCATTTAACAAAGAAAGAACAACACCTAAGGCATTATAAAATTGAAAAAAGCAAAAAAGTTGGAAAAAATTTTTTGATGATGAAATCTAGGGTCGAGGACCACCTTAAGTGCTTTATGATAAGAAAATGTCAGAATGTTCACAGTGATTGACTATTTTCAATGTGCATATCATTTTACAAAAACTTTGAATACTTTCTCTCTGTGCTATCCGATATACATCGCTTCTGATGATCTTTATCTATATCATTTATGAAGTCTACTTTGCCTCCCTTAAGAAACTCGGTTATCTCTCCTCAAACTAGAACGAAATCTAGAAATAACAGTTTTTCGAAATTGAGACGAACCAAAATTAATGTCCTTTTGTGAATGCCACACTAAAAACATGAATAAAAGATAGTTCTACCTTTTTAGGGGCCCACCTTAAAAAGAGTATTGGGCTCTTCTGTCTACTTTCTGTATCCCCTATATTCTTCTCTGTTTCCCCTTTGCGCCCTTTGTCCTTCTCTCCACTGACTTGGCAATGAATTGGCATAGAATTCAAAACAAATTATTTTCAATAAAAACATGTTAAAAGTTGTATGTTTTTTCATGTTTTCTCTTTGCAAAATTTAAATCTTTATGAAAGATGTCACATCACCATTGACTAATGAGCTTTAAATGTTTGAGTATCAAAAATGCTTTAAATGTTTCTCGACGACCTACTGATTAGGACATTTTTTATTTTATTTACAAAGTCCGAAGCCAAAAAAAGAGGGTTTCATTTGACCGAATTCCTAATTTTAGCCAGTCATGCACATGGCTGTCAAACCTTATATCTTATATAGCCGGCGCCGTTTGTCCGTTTCGTATCTTCTTACTATTTCTGAATCAAATTGCAAGAAAACCATCATTCTGCCCTGGGATCGAGGAAAGAAAAATGATTAAGGAAGTTAAAAAAGTGGGAAACCAAAGCTGAAGTCCTGAATCATTCTTGTAAAGGAAAGCAAGCGGTGAATTAGTTAATTTGACATCAGATTTAATCAACAAAAGGTAATAATTGATTAAAAAAATTTAACGTTAAACATTCTTTAAGCAAAAAAGACGAAGAAAGTGGGTTGGAAGATGCTCTCACCAGCTACTGAATCGATATCAAATAAATCTGCCACGAAAATCGGACCAGATGTCTTGCAGGAAATAAAAGAACAGTTCAACTTATTTTGCGCAAATGAACAAGATTTCATAAAAGTGGAAAGTATTCAAAACCTTTTGGCCGCGTGTGGAGAAAAAATACCGGCATTCAAAATAAGACAGAAGTTGCCTGAGCTTCAGTTGTCATCAAGCGACAAAATATACTTTCACGACTTTCAAGGGATATTTGAAGCGCTAGCATCGAAAAAGCTATGCACAGAACTTGTTCCATTAACAAAGAAGGCGAGTATGCAGCTGACAGGTGGGGCATCTTGTGTTTCATCGCTAGGAACCCAGCATTCTTATGATGATGACGACAAAGTTGCATTCACAGAATGGGTTAATCTTGCATTGGAAAAATGTTCTGACGTTGCAAGTAAGTATTTTTGGTTACATCTTTCCTTCAAAAAAAAAATGAAACACGAGAGTATGATCATATAGACACCAGCTACGTTGTGGCTTGGTGGTTGGGAACTTGGAGGCTCAAGCCTCCCTTGGAATTTTTTATAGGGGGCTCAATGATATAGTTCTATATCATCTAAGGGACTCAGCCACCCCTGGTCACCTTTTGATAAGGTAAAGCAGTATATTTTCAAAATTTAAGATGCAGTCAATCAAAAAGGTGTCTTTAGTAGTCGAGATTTTTATAAGAAGGACCTTTTTGTGGGTTTTCTTGTCATTTGTTGAGATCGGACTGTATCATCAATATTTTGGAATTAAAAATTCTTTTCCATAAAAACATATCCATGTCAAATTTCCAACCACTTCTGAGGAAATCACAATACGTCGCCTTGTTGATCATGGTAATGATGAAGAGAAAGCTAGGCCGGGAGCAAAGCACCCCATTCATTTTTAATAACAAGTTTAGTCCTTTTCTGATTGCAACAAAGTAGTGATATTCATCTTTGCCTCTTTTTGCTAGTTTGGCCTCTCAGATTCATAAAGTTATCTTTATGTTCTGGCATGCATGACTAGAATTTTTTTTTGGAATGTTGTAATTTGAAACGGAGGGGAAATGGCCTAGATTTGGCAGTATTTCTAATAATTTTGTGGGTTAATTTGAAGGCCCATCGGCCTACCAGCACATTCAAAAGGTATAGTTTGCTAATAAACTTTTTTTTCTTTGTAGAATATCTTCCCATTGATATGAATTCACCAACGGCACTTTTCGAGGCAATAAAAGATGGGATCATTTTGTGCAAATTAATAAACTGGGCCTCGCCTGGTACGATTGACGAAAGAGCAATAAATAAAAGTAAACTGAACGTGTACACTATTCATGAAAATTTGACTTTGGCCCTAAACTCGGCTACCTCAATCGGTTGCAATCTGGTTAACATTGGACCAGAGGATGTTTTACGTGGAGCACCTCACTTGGTCCTTGGTTTGCTTTGGCAAATTCTTCGGGTAAGCTGCATTGAAACTACAAGTCTTGTTGGTTCTTTGACATAGCTGAAACCAATTTTGCTTTATAAAAAAACTAAAATCCATTCAAAGGAAATGTGCAATGCACCGTAAATAATAACAAGATACGTAGGGATCGGGGGCACCAAAGGCATGTGCCCCCTCAGCTGTTGGGAAAACACCGCTTATTTCTTAAAAATAGTGTCCCATAAACTTGAGTATTCGGTATCCACAAAATTAATTCATCATTGTATTCCTATCTCCACGTGTTGGGAAATCCTTACATATCATCCATGATAGTCAAGTACTAGGTTCCTCTGCACACATGTATAGCATGCTCACAAATGTGTCAAATTTCATTGGTAGAAATCTGAAGAAATCTAAAAGTAAATTGATGAGCTACACACCCCAATAACTAGTATATTGTATGCTATTTCACTACAAATTCTAGACCAGCACCACCAACACTTCCACTATTGAAAAAGAAACAATTTGGAGCATTTGATTCAGCATGAAGGAAATCGAGCAGAGTGGATTTTCCGAGTCACTTTAAGCATATTAAAGTGTGGGTCGGATTAGATCCAAAATTTTTTCACTTGCACCTACGCGATCTAACTCTCTATCAAAATTTGATCAATTTACTTATATCTTGTGGCAAAGTTAGCAAAAGAAAATCACAAGTCTTGCCCCATTCTACTGCCAAGCAAATAGATCCCTGCCAGTCTAACCTTATTGAAATAGGATGTTGAGTTTTAAAGAAATATCTGATAAGATATAGATCTCTTGTAAATAAGGTTGGTTTGCTCACAAATTCTGGCGTGAAAAATGTTGGAGGCTTCCAAGTTCTGCTCGAAGCTTGGGAAACGGAAGACGATCTGCTGAGAATGACGTCAGAGGACATTTTGATAAGATGGGTTAACTATCATCTGAAACAAGCTGGATCCACTAGGACGATAAAAAATTTTGCAAGTGACCTAAAGGACTCTGAAGTTTATTCAATTCTTTTCAGTCAGGTAAATCAACATTTATTCACGATAACATCACTTTTGTCAATTATTTCGGTTTTTCTTGTATTGATATTTTGATACTAGAAAGCCAAATGGAAAGATAGTTGTGATAGAACCCTGGAATGAAGAAATTGACATCTCATATCCCAGCAGAATGAATAAAGATTATAAAAAAGGAATGAAAAGCCTTTCCAAATTATCATCATAGTTTTTTGGAAGATGTTGCATCATTGGATGTTTATGTAGACCCTAACGCTCAAGTCATTTTACTTCAAAACAGTTATTTCTCGAGCATAGGATTGTTGAGTTGTGAACGATCATAGTTAGGGATGGTTTGAAAAAATTATAAGACATGTTTAGAATTCAAATAAGAATTTCAAAACACTAAAGCTTGGAGCTTCATGCCTTTTTTATAATACTAATTCGTTTTGTGTAATCATTTGATGCTTTGAACAACATATAGGTCTCTCCTTACACAATATGTCTTCTAATATCAAGTCAAGTATTATGTTCATGGTATTATCAATTCATGACTGTGATCGTGGAAACTACCAGCATAGCCCGTTGTTAAGTGTTAAACGTCTTTAAAGGGGGAACTCCTTAGACTCTTCTTAGTTCCTACAAGAATATCATTCAATAGCTGTATAAGGCTGTAGTATATCTCCTTTGGTCATTAGTGCAAGAATTTTGAATAAATTTTCCGGCTGCTATCTTACTCGCAAACTTCTTAAAGTGCCTATGCAGTGAATTTTACCATTTCAACATTTTAAAAGAAATCTATGGAGTCCTTCGCCCTTGTTCTTATACAAAAAACAGAATTCCGATAAGTTCTTTTTTATTGAGTGTTAAAGTTTGCATATTTTGCAGTTGCATTGCGAGATTTTATTTCCAGCTGTGACGTCACATTGATGAGTCGAGACGAAACAATTTATTCAGACCTGTTAAATCACTTATTACGTCGAATTGTGCAAATTGTGATACTAGCATGAAACTTTGCAACAATAGACAGTTTGATACGCTGAAAAAGATAGGATATTGACCCCAACTGAAAATTGCCCCCTTGTTATATTTTTAGACTGGGGTACTTTGCCCTAGACCTTTACTGACGGTATTATCGTATCTCAGTCTCACTTTGGTAGGATAGCATGCAACTTTGCAAGAGGGGGCAGTTCCATACGCATAAAAAGATAGGATATGGACCCTAACTGAATATTGCCCCCTTGTTCTATTTTTAGAGTGCAAGATATGAATAGGAACTATATCACATCTTTGTCAGCGTATCAAACTGCCTTTATATTGATAATTTCCATTCTCCGTTTATGGCCAATGGTAAAGTCTGTATCAGAGCACCCCAGTCTAAAAATAGAACTTAGGGACAAGAAATTATTTGGTTCTATATCCAATCTTTTTCTACATGTCAAACTGCCTTTATATAGAGAGTTCCAAGTTTCTATTACCTGGCGTTCTCCGTTTATGGCCAGGGGTCTGGACCAGAGTACCCCAGCCTAAAAATATAATTTAGGGGCAAGAAATGATTTGGTTCTATATCCAATCTTTTTCTACATGTCAAACTGCCTTTATATAGAGAGTTCCAAGTTTCTATTACCTGGCGTTCTCCGTTTATGGCCAGGGGTCTGGACCAGAGTACCCCAGCCTAAAAATATAATTTAGGGGCAAGAAATGATTTGGTTCTATATCCAATCTTTTTCTACATGTCAAACTGCCTTTATATAGAGAGTTCCAAGTTTCTATTACCTGGCGTTCTCCGTTTATGGCCAGGGGTCTGGACCAGAGTACCCCAGCCTAAAAATATAATTTAGGGGCAAGAAATGATTTGGTTCTATATCCAATCTTTTTCTACATGTCAAACTGCCTTTATATAGAGAGTTCCAAGTTTCTATTACCTGGCGTTCTCCGTTTATGGCCAGGGGTCTGGACCAGAGTACCCCAGCCTAAAAATATAATTTAGGGGCAAGAAATGATTTGGTTCTATATCCAATCTTTTTCTACATGTCAAACTGCCTTTATATAGAGAGTTCCAAGTTTCTATTACCTGGCGTTCTCCGTTTATGGCCAGGGGTCTGGACCAGAGTACCCCAGCCTAAAAATATAATTTAGGGGCAAGAAATGATTTGGTTCTATATCCAATCTTTTTCTACATGTCAAACTGCCTTTATATAGAGAGTTCCAAGTTTCTATTACCTGGCGTTCTCCGTTTATGGCCAGGGGTCTGGACCAGAGTACCCCAGCCTAAAAATATAATTAAGGGGCAAATTATGAATCGGGTCTATCTCACATCTTTTTTGACTTGTCAAACTGTCTTTTTATTTTGAATTTCAACTTTCCATGTCCTGGAGTTTTCCGTTTATGATCAAAGGTACAATTAGAGGTCTTGACCGGAGTACCACAGTCTAAAAATAGATCTTATGGGCAAGATATGATTTGGGTCTATATCACATCCTTTTCAGCGTATCAAACTTGGGGTTTTCTGAAATGTTGGTGCTTGTATCACAATGTGCACAATTTTTCTGTTTATCTCCCTCACTAAAACCTATTCTGTTCAACCGCAGTTTTCGGATTGTTGTCGACCCGATTCATCACTGTGACGTCACAAACTGGCCTTGGTTTTGGCAAGTACTACGTAGTTTAGACAGCGCGTTATGGGCGCAGCGAATTAAATTCAATTAGATGCGCTCAAAATGCGTCCGTAGAGCGCTTCAATTTATTGTTTGCTTTTAGACAGCGAAGCGAATTGAATCAAAGATACTGTTCCAGTATCTTTGATTGAATTGATTCATATTTTGATTCATAATGCGCTGATAATGCGCCCAAGTGGGCGCATTATGAGCGAATTCAATTATTTGCTTCGCTCTCGGATTTGGTTAGCAAATTAAGAGCGCATTAAATTGATACGTACAATATTTTATGGGCAATAATTTAATTCGCTGCGCCCATAAAGCGCTATCTAAACTACGCCTAATTTCAAACTTTGGTTAAACAAACCTTTGCTGGTCAAATTATGACAATTTTGGTGTCAAACGCATCGAAAAGATGGGAAATTATAACTGGAAAAATTTCGCTGCATAGACACTTCTTTCTATATGTTGTTTCTATATTTTCTACTTGTTAAGAAATCCGACATTTTTGAACTACAGATCTTCCCAGAGAAAGACAAATTGATCCTGGAATTAGCAGAAATCAAAACAAGTGAAGACTTGCTGATAAGGGCCCAAATAATTATTGACGCTGCTGTGCAAATGAAATGTAGAAGGTTTATACGAGCAAGAGACATAGTAAATGAAAATTCCAAGTTGAACCTCGCCTTCCTTTGCAATTGTTTTAAACTCTTCCCTGGTCTTGAAATGCAAGAAAAAAGCGAAGAAGAAGAGGAGACGTTGTACGAGACACGGGAGGAAAAGACCTTTAGAAATTGGATAAACAGTCTCGGAGCGGAGCCGTTCGTTTCTGATTTGCACCATGAATTGCAAGATGGTTGGGCACTTTTGCAAGTTCTAGGCATTGTGAGTAGCACCTATGAAATAATATAGCTTTTCTGTCTAATGCTGTGCTATACCTAAAAGGTTGTGCCATGTGTATAAAGTCAAGATGTTCGTTGGACATTTCAGTTGCCATCTAACGCCAATCCTTGAGTAGATCCTATCAATAAATGATCATTTATACGTGTAAAAAATTGATGTTCAAAATTGATGAAAGTCGAGGTGAAGTGGCGTTTTCCTCTAAAATGACCCGTAAATTAAAGAAAGAATTTCTCTCGAGGATTGAGACAATTGAAAAACTTTTGTATCAGAATCACATGACCGTTGTCTTGCAAAAGGCAAAGAGCCTCGTTCAAACGAGAGAAAATAAGCATTTTCTGTATTGCTCAAATGGCGACACTGGTTTTTGAAAATTTATTTTTCTCTCTTTGGAAATAAACTGTTATCTATAAAAAGGTGATTTTTTCTAAAAAATTATCAAACTTTATCGATCCTGCAACTTTCTTTTGATAATATGCAAGGTAAAAATTGTTAATTGCAATGTTTACATACTCTATCGTTATTATTTTTTAAATTCGTCTGTTGATATTTTAAAACATGATGCAGCTCATTTTAAAAAAAAACATTGACGAAAGATATGTCATTCAACAAATTGCAATGACGCAAATAGACCTGAAAATTTGAAAACAATTTTTTAGCTATTCTTTCTTAGTTAAGAATTCATCATAATAGAAGCCGTAGTGCATTTTTAAATTAGTTCTGCCTTCAGGATGTTAAACAAATTTGCTAAAAATGCTTAGATTCTCTTAATAACTTATTTTGCGATTGATGAAATTTTCATTTATTTGATTATGTCCTAACCCCCCAAAAAACTCACTTACGTTTCACATCCCTCCAATATGTTAGGTGGATGTTTTTACTTTAATCTTTGTTTTAAGTTTTCGATGCCTTTTTGCATTAATTTAATGCAGTTTTTTTATTTACTTTAATGAATCGAATAGTTGATTTTATTGGATGGGCACTGAAAAAGTTGTTTGTGGAAAAAATTGCACTTCTGCAATTGATGCAAAATAAATTCGCATTACCTGATAGCTAAATTTTCTCAGTCGTTAGAAAACCGAGCTGAATGAATCACAAAATGTTGAAACTAGTTGGTAATTCATTCCAAGAAGTATTTCGGGTAATCATTTTATGATTCTTATGTGTTGTTTTTTTCTTGAAGATTTCAGAACGAAATTCAAGGGCTTTCAATCTGAAGCGGTTCAACAAACCGCCATTCAAGAAAAATGGAGCCCAAATGAAAAGGCTTGAAAATTGCAACGAGGTCGTTAAGATTTGCACTGGAATGAGAATGTCAACAATTGGCATTGCTGGATCTGATATTGCCAATGGAAACCTAAAACTCACCTTGGCAATAGTTTGGCAAATGATGAAGCTCTATACGCTCCTATTGCTTCAACAGTGCAGCAAGTCTTCCAAGCCAATCACAGAGTTGCAGATAATTCAATGGGCAAATAGTAGCTTAGAACGGGGAGGTAAGCAAACTCGTATTACAGGTTTTAAGGATCAGTCTATTTCAACAAGCATTGTTATTTTGGATTTGATTGACGTCTTGAGGCCAAAGTCCGTCAATTACTCACTGGTCAGGGCAGGCAATGATACTGAAGAGAAATTAATGAATGCTAATTATGCAGTCTCGCTTGCACGAAAGATTGGCGCTAAGGTTTATGCATTACCAGAAGACATCGTTGAGGTGCGACCAAGAATGGTGATGACAGTGTTTGCCTGCCTAATGGCTCGGGAAATCCTTGAACACAGTAATAAAGTGTAAAATAGTTTTATAGTTGATAATGAGAACCAGAAACTATAATTTTCTTTTGCATTTTAATAGGACGATTCTATTACAATCAGCATTATTCTGAAACCTAATTTTTTATGATTTGGTTAAATAACTGCTACCTATACTTCGATCGCAAAATATAACATTGCAAAAATGTGGAAAGGAAATTCCAAAGTTTCGAATAAAATGGTAAGTCGTTATACAAAAGAGCAAGGTTCACATTTTATTCCTTGAGACTTTACCTTTTAAAACTTTGATTAAGTTTTCGCAAAAAAATTGCTGCATTATATCATTTGATAATTTTTTATATTGATATACTTAACGTTTTCTCCATAAAACCTTCATATTTTGTATTCTGTGTTCTATTCATTATGTTATTTACAAGTACGTATAATGAATCAGAGAAAGAATTCCAGAAAGCCTCTGCACGATAAAAGCAAACATTTAAACATTTTATGGATAGAGGCAGCTTGAATATAGAAAATCTGCCAAGGACTTGAACCGAAATTATTGCATTCAAACTAAAAATACTTTTCTTTGCCCAAATCTTTAACATTTAAGTTTTAGATCAAAGTTCTAGCAAGAGAGAATAAGAGCACAGTAAATGAATAAAGATAGTATCTTTGAAAAACATGTTGGAAGTATTTTGCTCAAAATTTGCTGTACGCAGCAAAATCAAGGCGCCTATTATCCTAACGTCTGAGAGATTGATATGATTCTTTGAAAGAGCATTCGATCATAAAATTTGAATGGTTTGATTGTTAAATTTGTTACTATTTACTGCTAAAATGTTACTACAATTTGTTATCTTGCTTTTTATTTAATTAAAAGAATTACTTTGAATAACCATAGTTTAAACATCGTTTTTCTTCAATGAACCTATTAAAATGTCTATACATCATGATATCTTCTGCTCAAAAATCTTGAGGACCTCGTTCCCAAGTGGAAATTGTTACAAGATAAGTATCATCCTGTTTAATATTGCCTGTACATGTTAACAAATAGATTAGAATAAAACACCCATGTCCCCCTAGTTGAAGGTTAATTGACATATTTGTTTCTAGCTTTCAGCAGTAGGGTACATAGACCATTGTCCAAGGTTAACTTGTAAATGGGATGCTGGTGCTCCATATGCATGGCTAGTGGCATTGTAGTCTCGATAAAACCCATGCTCTAGGTGGCTATAGTTGGGACTAAGATAGCTTGCTGGTAACGGATCTGGGTGGCGAAGCGGATAGGACTTTGCTTCGCTTTTAGGTGAGCAACTTTGTGTGATCTTTTGCTCTGGCTTTATAGTGTGATTAAATGCTAGTTTTGAACCTGGGTTGTGGCTCATCTTGGAACTGATGCTTGGCTTTGCGGTTTGGAAGTAAGATGGTCGTTGAGGATAGCAAAAGAATGGAATTTCTTCAGAGTAATCAACGTACGGACCTACGGGACCATAAGAGCAGGCCATCCTTGATTCGTAAGGATCTCCAAGCCTTGACACGTGAGAGAGACTAGAATGTCCTCCGTTATATGGCGATTCGGGGCAAGAATCTTGTGATACGTCAAACCGTTGACCTCCATATAGTTTTAAGGTCTTCTTTAGCTTTGATCTTTTATTCTGAAACCAAATTTTTATTTGCGTTTGAGACAGCCCCAGCTTAGCAGCAAGTTCTGCTCTGTCAGGAAGCGCCAAGTACTGAGTTTTGGCAAATCTTGTGTTGAGTTCCTGCAGCTGAAAACTGTTATAGATAGTTCTGGATTTTCTCCTCATTTTAGTGACTTTGTGATCCTTGAGCTTGCTATCATAGATGTTTTCATACTCAATATCTGTTTCGGAGAAGAATAAACAATTTATAATAAGGAGAAAAACTGAATTTCGTTTAATTCATATTGTTTTGCAAAATAAAATTTTTAAAACGTTCAAGAAAACCGCATGGGTAAAAAGAAATTTGACTAGAAAATCGTCTTGTGTGAATAAAAGGAATAACTGCTTATATGGGTTAGGTCGTTAACTTAAAACGAATTATATATTTAAAACGAAAAATATATAAAATTATAATGCAAAATGATAAAAAAGAATAGGATATGCAGTCTACTCTTGATAAGTGGAACCTCTACGGGACCGAAAAGATGGTTCCACTTATCGAATGTTTCACTTGTCCGAATTGCTCGATAGAGCTTTTTCGTTAAATATACTACAGCTGATTGGAATATTGCTGTATCTTGCAGTTTTCAGCCAGTTATAAACAGCAAAGTTCAACTCCTCGTATGTCGCAGTCAATGGCGGCGCCAGCCACTAAGCTCTGGGGGGACAAGCCAAAAAAATTTAAGCCACGCCCTTTTAACCACCAGAAAACGCCCTTTTACCAACAGGAAACGCAAATTTTTATTCGAAGAGAACGCCTATGACTAACTTTTGTTTGAAAATTGGCAGGTGGAAAATCATAGGATTACATCACAAAAAGTAGGGTATCAAAATATTACCCCTCCCCCAACATTTTCTCATCGAATTTAGACGAAATACAAAATCGATTCTGCTGAGAACTGGGGGGGACATGTCCCCCTAGTCCCCCCCGTGGTGCCGCTACTGGTCGCAGTCTTCATTCTTTTTCTCTTTTTAGAAGCATTGTTTCCTTACTTGTTTACCCAGTGTTAAACTTTTTAGCAACACCATTTTTTTGCTGTATCTTTTAAAACCTTGTACTTGTTGACTATAGTTAAACAGGCAAGCCCTCGTTCCGAAGACTGCACGGCTGCCCCTTTGTTAATTTGACTGCTGATCTATTTTGCTTTGTTTTCATTACTTGATAGCAATCGAATGTTCGCAAGAATATTCGAGTAAAGAATGTATTGATTAAAATGATTCGAACGTACTTAAGATGATTTTTTTGGGAAAAGTTCCACTTATGTGAATAACTATTGCTCATGAGACCAAAAAATGGTTCCACTTATCGAAAGTTCCACTTATCGAGCGTTTCATTTATCCGAATAAAATAAGAGAGCCTTGTTATTGCAAATCCAAGGAACCGGAGAAATTGGTTCCACTAAAAGAAAGTTCCATTTATCCGGGGTTCCACTTATCGAGAGCAGATTGTAATGACAAAACAAAGATTGGCATCTATCAAGCGCTTGAATCTTGGCGGTATGAAACCGCACAAATTATTTGAGACCAAAAACGTTTTTAAACAAGTGAAAAGTTATCCCACCTCAAACAAATTTGTGACGTATGTATTCTAATAGCACAGATAGCAACACTGAACTAAGGGAAGGTGGACAGAAAACCTCAACACTATCTTTTCAGAATAGGCGTAGATGGTTTTCAAGAATTCTTCAAAGAACTAGTATCTTTTATTTTTCTAACTATATGTACACATTTACCACAAAATTATCTTAATTAATGAAATCTTAATTAATGATGCTTAAAAATGAAAAGCATTTAAGGAGAAAAAGAAGTCATTTCAATTTCATTTCTTCAGCCTAGCAGTATGTGTTGTGTCTAATAAACTATAGATAGTTTTTGAGATTAACTACCATTCATGTTTGTTTTGTATGATTGAAACTTTGATATTAAATTTGCCCCTGGGAGTGCTACAGATTTAGATTTCATAAACTATTCTAGAGGTAGCAAAGCAGCATAAAATTTTATCAACCATTACTTAGGTAATGAGCTATTTTGGCCAGTATGAACAAGAACCTTATTATTTCACTTCTAACTTTAGTGATGTAGGAATCCCACGAGAGTTGACGTCGATATTTACAATTAAACGATAATCTAAATATTTATACTAGGGATTTTAGTGTATTTTGTAGAATAAAGGAGAACATAGTATATTGTAAACATATTTTGTTATTATTACATTGTCGGATCGAAAAATTACAATTAAACATTGTCGGATCTAAAAATGCTGCAACAACTAAGCTGTCCCCTTAACCCAGCCGGCAATGTACGTTGTCAAACCTATCTAAATAACCAAGCGTGAAAATGAAGTGCAAATAAAATGAAGAAACTGAATAATGAACAAAACATAGCAGTTTATTTTCGGTGCAAATTGTCAAATTGTATACAATTTAGCAATTTGAGTTGTAAAATTTCTAATTTCTTGACAATTTGTTTGCTATTAAATTCTTTGACAAAGAATGACACATTTGAATGAGTCATCAGTAGGCGCAAATTGCAGCGCGGTTTTTTCTCGTTAAAATGCAACGCGGCGTGTTTTCAATACAAAACGACGAAGTCAAATGATCAACTTTTCACGACAAATTATAGCATAGATACAATGTATTGAACTAAGCTCTACTGATAACAGGAATAAAACCTTTACAAAAAGAGCAACGTGTGGATTCGGGCCATGATCGCGCTCGACCGAACGCCTCCACACTCGCCTCAGAAAAATTGCGGGCTTGATTGTTTGAGGGCCTAGCTGATCTTTATGTTGTTTTTTTCGTTGATTTGTGAATTTGCGAATTTACTTGAAATAAATAGTTAGTCAATGTCTTCCTTGTGTAAGACAATAATAAATTTATCTATATTCTTTGTTGAAATCGCAAAATTTTCGTGGGCTTCGCAAGTCCTAACTAATGTTCAGTTCACAGATGCCATCTTCCACCTGCCTCGCGCCTGCAATTTATTCTAGTACAAATCAAATTCTAGTGCATTTTTGGAATTGATTTACATACAAACGAAAAAGCCGCCATTGTGTAGACACAAGGAGTTCGTTTTCTCTCTTGCACTCCAGTGGTAATTTTTCTTTAGGCACGTCGCAGTGATTGGTCAACTATACCGGTCTTGTGCTTGCGTTTTTTCTGATTGGCCTGTTTCGATCCACAACTGGGTATATTTTTTTCATCGTGCTCTTTCGGACCCTTATTCTGACGTTTTATGCTCTGAGGAGTGTCAGACGAAAAAGCTTTTAGCCAATATGATATAAAATGTTTGCTTTTTTCAAAGCCATTTTCAAACTCTGTACCGCCAACAAACTGTATTGAATTACAAAATTACTATTCTGCATAAACTTGTTATGCAAATAATTTTAAATTTTTAAGGTAATTCATGCAAAGTAAAGCTTTTAGACATTTAGTACTTCTTTTTTTTGCAAGTTTGGTGTCATCTGTATGAAACCATGATTTGTGTCTTCCCTTGTAAATCCCTGATGTGTTTCCAGTCATTGGTGCTGTTGGTCTGGCAACACGAATCATGTTCTCATTGTATCCAAATTGCTGGACACCTTGACTATTCTTGCGCCAGTCTAGCTGTTCTTGCCTACCAAAGTATTCTTCTAGGCAGTCTTAAGAAAAGCGCTCAGACAAAACAAAGTCATAGCCTTCGGCAAAAAGAAACTATGTTGCGCTAAAAAGGACTGTTATCTTTTTTCCTTCAGAAGTTTGCTTTGGAAGAAATGTTTTTGTTTTTTTCTAAACTGGACTTCCACTTTTCTAAGTAGGAGATAAACCTATCTTTTAACCAAAAATAGCGCTTGTCATCTTGTGAACAATATGGCTTGAGGAATTCTTTCCTTTTTCTTGAATGCTCGACTTGATTTCTTACATTACAGCTGTCAAAGAAAAGGTCAAGTATTTCAAAAATCTCTGCTGTAGCATGATAATCTGAAGGATAATACCTGTGTAGGACTTTTGCAACTGTAGATTTTAACACTTGGGCAGCAAAACAAACCTTCATCTTAGAATAAGGACTCAAGTGCAGATGCTCATGGATCAATCTTGGAACAAGATGGAGTCCATGGCTGAGATCATCAGTGTAAACCTGCATTATATGACTCCACATTAGCGTTTTCCCATTGATCCACTTAAGTCTGGATTGCAAGTCAAACCCTGAATTATGTAAACAATTTCTTGAAGTTTTCAGAAGTAGTTATAACGGAATTTCGCATAAAGGTTCACAAAACAATGTATCACCCCATTCTCTGTTTTGTCTCCAATTTTTCGGTGCAACTTGTAAAATTTTCTGTTTGACGATGCACCATCACTTACAAAAGCTAACACTCACAGATCACATACCTTCTCCAAGTAAAAAACACAGTTCTAAAAAGATTGGCAAGAGCTGGTCTGATGCTACTGATGTTGCTGCAAAGTTAGCAAATGGGTACTGTACAAATGGGTACTGTACAAATGGGTACTGTGCAATTAGCTAGATATCATAGACAACAAAAGCAGAGTTATCTTTTTTGAACAGCAGCAAAAGCAAAATATTCAATCAATATTATGGGTTTTCTATATCATGGATGCAGGAGTGACAACAGTCTGAAGTGAAAAACAGTGACAAGATGTGGAACACCTTGTTCAAGACACTAAGGCAAATGCATGTTTTCTGTTGTTTGGGCCATCTACGTTCGGCATAAGAATTTAAATATACATCAAAAAGCTATCTTTCCTGAACAGTAGATTTAGAAGGATGTAGAAATGTCCAATAAACCCGGTGCCATATCAAAGAAATAAGGCCAATCTGTGACAACATCAGCGTTTAATTACCTAAAGAAATGAAATTTTATACGAGAATCTATGGGCACAATAAAAAACATGATCGAAAGATACGATGGGCAATCTGCATGATATTATGCTAGATCTGGTCACACTGCTCTAACTGATAGCCTTCTTTGGTAACATGAGTTCTCATTCCAGTCCTTTTTGGTGCACCAATCATTCCTTGCCTGACATCAAGCGATAAAACGGCAACAAATCCATATTTTTGCAACAACCTATCTCGGCACCACAAATGCTTAACATAACATTGGAAAGTCTGGAGACCAGTGCTCTTCAGAAAGTTGGACGAGCCCTTCAATCGTTGTTAGAAAAAATAGTTTAATTGTCTTACTTAAAGGACAATAAAAGGGCAAGACAGTATATAATCAAAATGGTCAAGCAAGGAGGCGTAAAAGCTTACATTTTCAAGGAGGTAGAAAAGTCCAGACAGGAATATACAAAAGTTTTAAAAAGTTATCAAAAATCTAGAAAAAATCCGCAAATCCGGGCCCAAAATTGAAGGATTTTTTAACCCGAAAAAATTATGTACGTCACTTATGAAGTGAAACACCCCTCGTAAATAAGAATGGATTCTACACTAGATTCTGTCACATCAGAGTTGGAATGAGTTAAATGGTGTTGTATAACACTATGCGTGCTGAACGGTCGCTGACCAAGAAGATTGGAAAATATTCTGCTTAGTCTTTTTTTCTTAAATCAGTGCTGGGCCTGAGATCTGGATCCAACACATTCTCGCCATAGTAAGAAAAATTGAAAAATGACATATTTATTAGAAAATTTCAGACGATTTCTATATCAAGTTGATGGTTACTTCTACAGTCGAAAAACAACGTCATTCACTATGAAAAATCAATAATATGAACAGCATAAGTTTCAATTTGATACTGTCGTGACCTAAATTTCTTCTTTTATCAAGAAAATAGCGCGAAATACCGATCTTTGAATGTACAATACCATTTTAAAAGACTTGATTCTTGACTCTCAAGTAATTAGCAAATTCAGAACAAAGAAACACCGTTTCAAAAGATTGCTTTGTTTGTATAAAGTTTTCATGATGTTGCCAGGAATCATTGAGAAGTGAGTCCTCTTGATAACTTTTCGATCACAATGCAAAATTATTACAAAACTTTCCGATTTGAAAAGAGTGCAGATAATCAGTACTTTGGGAATAACAACCTTGGTAGTGAATTGTACACAATTAACGAATAACATACCAGGGGGCTGATCGAGTCTCGAAAGGATTGGAACATTTAATCGATATTCACAATAATTTCACAATCAAAACTCAACTTTCTGTTCTTGATTCGTAAACAAATGTTAAAAATGTTTTGAGTGTGTATCGCTAGGTTGTCGATTAAGATACATCCAGAGTTATATTATATCTTAAAGAATTTTTTCCATCTCGTGAAAATGGTGGAGTAACTGTTTGTAATTACTTTAACCCCTTTTTAAAATCTCGCAAATCTAGATCTTTATTCCTTTCCTAAAACTGTGCTGTTTAGGCTTCAATCACACCATCTTTCTTTGAATTTAAACGCAAACACTTGTTTCATGTCGATCGTAATTGACAATAATTAAACTCATTATAATTGATAATAAAATCAATTACAAATTTAATTAGCGGGCTAATCTTCTACTTACCAACTTTGCCTTTAGTTGCTATTGACGTATCTGTGCTATTTCTGATTGCAAGCAATGGAGGAAAAGTTCCACTTAGCGATTGTTGCACTGTCGCATCTGATAGTGAAGCTAGTGAAATCGTGTCTTGTTCCAGTTCACACTCTGAATGGCGACGAGGTTCTGCGTGTTCGGAAAGAGCCATGCCAGGTTACTGAAGACAAGCTTTGAATGCGTCTTGATTATCGTAGTTTAGTTCAAATTGATAAAAATGTTCTTTGGTTCTGCTGCTAACCTCCTTAAGTTGCATATAAGTTGAATAGTACCGCGCTTCATCCTTAAATCATGTCAGCAAATTCGCATCTGAGACGCAGCCCACTGCAAAGCAGCTGTTTAACTCCGCCTCAATCAATTCAAATACAAGCCTCGCTTTGCGACCTTTTATCAACAGGACTGTCCTCGATCTTGCATTGACATAAATTCTCTTCTCCCTTGCGGCATTCTATTCAGGGCCCTCTTTTGTTCGCGGGAGCCCACGCGGTATTTGCATAACAAAGCGAGTATGATTTTTAACGATATGCTTTTTGCGTTTTCGAAGAGGCTGGCCCAATCAATTGATAACAAATGTGAATTAGATCGAAAGAAAAAAAGCTACTGACTTTTTGCTGTGTCAACCTTTTAAATAACAGTAGCTGAAAGACAGAGGGTGGAATTCTGTGAGTCTCGTAAACGATTGTTTTCCCCAACGATGATATAAACGAGAAAATGAAGATTGACTAGACCCTTCTTAGGGTAAAAGTTAATGTAAATGGAAAAACAAATACGCCTAGTGAAAACTGCTGACAGATTGCTGACTTATTTCTTTCTATGATAGACACATTTCAATGCTCTATTTTTCCATGCAAATTGATCACTAGAAATGCCAGGCAATTATCCGAAACTCCAGCAATATTTTGTTTGCTTCTATACAGTATACGCTGTCACTAGACACGGTCATAGATAGAAGCAGAGATTCTGGCCTGGTCTACAAGCCTGGTTTGGAGGAAGGTTGAGACTAATAGTTGAGGAGGGCTTTATTATCAAAACAATGTTTTTGCTCTTGTACTTTTAATTGTAACACAAACATAAATTATGCAAAGAGCCATTAAAGTTCATTTCAGTTCGAAGGTATAATAGTTGCAAGGTAAAATCTTGATATTGGCGAGGTTATGTTTCAAAATTAATCAAATATGAAAAATTAGTCTTGAATTGAAAGGTCGATATTTAAGAAAAAAATCTATGAGGAATTATTGATATGTGTCAGGAAAATTTGTACTGAAAACCTGATACAAGCTTTAAAGCTGTGCAAGGACAAAAAAAATCTATCGGGAAGATAAATAATTGCATGGTTCAAAATCTGCCTACCTGTTATTCTGAGTAAATTTAAATTGTGAAATGAGAAATGAAGAAGGGTGATGTCAAAAATTTCAGGTTTGGAGGAAAGACAACTTTTTGCAAAACTGTAGTTAAGCTAAGATAACTGTTTTCCTTCTATCATACAATACTTTACGAGGAATTGAGTAGCATGAACATGTTTTGCCTGACAATCAAAATTTTTAAAAGCAAAATTTTCGCCAGTATTGGTAATTGGAAATTGATGGATTTCAAGACATGGCAGTAACAGCTACAGCTGTGTGTGATCTGTTTGCGAGATCCATCTGGAAACCTTATTATTCTTAGATCAGATAGAATATATTGGATAAATCGTGGAGATGAAGAGAGCATGTCCATCGCCTTTTGAGGTCATTCTCCTTCGTAGTCACTTTTCTTGATCCGGTAAGAAAAACGTTGATGCAAATCGAGTTATTTTATGAAAAATCTTCATAGAAAAAGTATCTAAATGGAAATATCCACGAAAGTCTGTGTTTTCTGAACTCTTGAATAGCATGTGCTTGGAACAAACAGCTTTGCGATTTGTTCATTTTTATAATGAAACATTATGAAGCAAGCCGGTTTTATCTAAAACAGCTGTTCTTAGCAATTACATAAGTGCAGTTGTTGGTTACAGAACAGTTAACTCTTCGTTTTGAAGTGATGATTCATTTTGACAAACGTATTCATTTTTACCAAAGTTTCCTTTGCCATAGAATCATATTTAATGACTGACAATAATTATATTTCGCATAATGTTAACTTGCAGGCATGGAAGTTCGACTCAACTCTTTGTATACAAACTTGCTTTTATTTAGAGTTAAAAAACACTTAAATTTTCTTGCAAGGACTTTAAGTATGATAAAGGGGCTTGTATTTAAACACCTTTTCTGCATCCTGAACGGTAACGGTAACAACGCAAAATCACGAAAACTTATGACATAATTGGAAAATAATTTACAAAGTAAAGATGTTAAATAAATTGCCCCCCCCCCCTGGTATTCAGTACTTCATTAGAGTAAATGTGATAAAACCAGGCCAGATTAAGGTTGGTGCTATTGGTCAGGGCCGTCGAGAGCCAATTCGGGCCCAGGGGTGGTTTACAAAATTGGCCCCACTTGAGAAAGTTTCCTGTGGCCATGCCCTTCAGTCTCCCGGAGAGCTACGGAAACACCCTTTTTAGTTACAATTGTTGAAAAAGTTTTTTAAGGATTTTTACAGGAATGTACAAAAATATCTTATATCAATCAAGGACATGTGAGCATAGTTTCTCTCTGCGATAAACTTACAGGCATTGATTCCGCATTAGTAACTGAAATACTAGCTTTTTTGCATTATAAATAGATCTTACTACATTATTACGGGCCCCATCGGAGTGCGAAATTACGGGCTCTGGACCTTTTGCCCCTCCTAACCCCCCTCTCGACCCATTCCTGAATTAGGCCAAGATGAAAACAGGTGAGAATTCTCCTGAAGCTGAATAGGCCAAATTAGGTTCTTTTTGGTTGCAGCCCCGTATCATAAGCTATGCTTTAAAAGTATTTATATATTAACATATATATACATATACAGATATTATCAATGGTGATCTTCGAAATAATTTTGTCAGCCTCGTGAGTTAATTTTCTTGCCTTTAATTTTTCTTTGACGCATTGTAATTAGAAAGCGATGAATAACACAAGAAAAAGTGCTTTATTACTCATTTTACTTAAAACTGTAACAAAAACGAAAATGTTTCAACTTTTTCCCGACTATTCTTGAAATTCTTCACAATTTACATTTTACTTCCAAGTTTTTCATGTTACCTTCATTTCCACCCCTCTGTTCGAATCTGTGTTCACAAGGTCCTTGCCTTGTATCCATGTTCAGTAATACTTTCAACTGTTAGACGGCTTGTCAAATTTCTATTGTAAAGATTCTATGATATTTTAAACGATCAAAATATAACGATCAAAACCCTTTGTTCATTTCACAGAAAATTTATAATCCAGATATTTTATAATCACGGATTCTACTAGTTGTTTGTGTGATACATCTATGCTTACAATGTGAGACGATTAGGCCTAAATTCATAATTTGCTACAGACTTTATTCAGATAACCAATTAGGTGAATTGGCTCTAGCAAAATAATTAATTCCCTGAAAATTTCTTTCAACAGCGTAGATTGAGCATTTCTGTGATGATATTTCAGTGAAATAACACTGGGATAAAGGCAGCAGGACGGCCACTCTAATTCCGCTGTACACGAAGCCTGGGTAACGGGCACTTGGATAACAGGTGTTTATGCGTTCAGTGCGAAATACTGGCCATCTACAATTATTGTTCATCCATTTGTGTATTCTGCAATTAAATCATTCATTGATTTCATCTTCCGATTCAAGGTTGCGACATAAAGCGCGACTGTCAAGCAGGCTGCCATTTTGTGAGAAAGTGGAGGGAAAATTTCGTTCAGGCTAGAAACGACAAAAGATCTTACAATTCGTCGCGAGGCAAGTTATAGTTGTGGCAGCACAACCCAAACAAATATTGATACGTAGAGCACATTTCAGAAGACGATATGAGAAATTGTTCTAGGGGCACTAAAAACAAAGTGGATACCTGCTTTCTCAAATGCCTGCAAACTTGATGGCTCACTATCTAAAGCCACCAATGTTTTATATTTTGCCTCTATGTAATAAAAACAAGGCATAAACAACTTTGTTCTATTTATGTTTTAATTATTGTGCTTGATGTTTTCTGTTTTCTTCACTCGTTAAGTATTATTTTGACAGTTCTTTATAAAACGTTCGTTATTTCCAACATTTGCAATCTCAAAAGAATTTTCAATTCCTCCAGATCTCGAGATTGTAGATATGTAAGTAAAATGTGTTCGGAAGAAAAAAAAGCAAAAAGGGTGGCTACTTTTTCAGTAACAAAACCTGATGAAACTTAAACAGGAAGATCAGGGCTTTCACTATGGGTGACGTGAAGGGTGTAAAACGTGTTTGTTGCAAAAATAAGAAGTTTTTTGCCATTTTACGGGGTTGTCCAGGCCCTTTTTGCCAGCAAATCGAGTATTCAATCCTTTATTTGCCGAAAAGTTTGAGAATTTGCCGCAAAGTATCCTTTGAAAAACTTTGGGTTTTTCTCCTTTCCTTGTCGTGTTCTTCTAAGATATAATAAATCTTTAGTGGTTTTTTTTGCATTTTCTTTTGTCCAATCAAAAAGAAAATAAAGATCATGATTCTCAATGTAAATTTGGAAAATAGAATAAATGTTTGCCTAGTTTTGGTTCTAGTGCTTAAACCATCGCGGAAGAGTAGGAGCTTTCTAGAAAAGAAGCTGATACTATGAAAAATTCATCCATGAAGCTCATGAGAAAAACTCTTAACATTTAAAGTAGCACGTTCACTGGCAAATTTAATCTCACTTTTGGGACAGGGAAAGATGTGCTCTAGACTCCTAACTTGAAGGTAGAGGTCAATTAACTTATCAACATCAAAGTGTATGTTTTGATACCATCGCATCTTCCGGTTTTGAAGTGTTCCCATCCTCGCTTTGAGAAACAATTTTCTAGGCGTCATTGGCGTCATTGACATTTCTTTTTACTATTTGAATACGTAAACTGTCGCAGCAAACTACGCTCTGTTTACTCCATTTCTCACTTTTGCCATGTGAAGCCGCATATTTTATGCATAAATAATTTTCCCAGAGATCCTGGGAAAAACACAGACTCTCTACTTTCAAGTAAGGGGTCTGGGACATAGGCTAGGAAAGATGTGCACACTCTAAGGTCCTTAATAGAAGAGGGGGTCTTGATAGTCGGGGAGGGGGGGGGGTCAGAAATTTTTTGAAAGATAAATAAGCGGGGGGGTTTCTAGTAAGTAGAGGGGGTGAAATCTGAAAAATCTGAAAAATCACGTGATGATTCTTTTTTGGGGTCAAATGAGATTTTCTTCTGAATACAATCGATAGCAAAATCACAATTATCACCATGTAATAATGCATGGTTATATTACTAAAATGAGCAGGCTAATTATCATTGTGTACATCAGCCTATGTAATTTTTACAGATGTTATACTACTTTTCTATATTAAAACGTTTGTACAATGCAAAGAGAAACTTTAAAGAAATTTTACACCAGAAAGAACAAAGGACAAATGCAATAAGGGATATGAATGATTGCATATAAAAACTAATAAGCGGG